GAACATTTTAGTGCGCTGTCTTTGGACCTTGAATGCAGCACAACTGAGTAATGTGTACAGATGTTAAGGTGCACGTGTGAAAGCGGCTAATCTCTGCATGTGGAATTTAGTGGTGCACGTTTTCATCAGAGGGACTTTCCTACCTGTCTCCTCTTAAAGTGCTTAAAGTCAGTATTTTAATTAAATGATGTCTTGGCAGTATTCAGGTGTCGCCTCAGCTCGTTCTGCAGCTGATTTGGACTTCACAGATCTTGGATTCAGTCTCGGGTCATGTTTTTCTGCCCCCCCACAATGTTAGTGTTTTGACTCTGGCTGTTTTTATAACTGCAGCAGGCAGCTGTTCTCAGAGTAAAAGCTCTAAAAGCCACCGAAACACCCAATAATCATTTTGCTAATGATCACTGTGTGTTTGCAGAACATAAGTGAAAACACAGTTTGCTAAGATAATTTAAAAGCTGATGATATGTTGATGATAATAGCTGAAAACACTAGGCCACAAAAGCCAATCCTTTCTGTTTCCCAGACTCTGCTAATGATAAGCTCAGTGTTTATATAGCATGTAAGCTTACAAATCACACTTCAGTGCAATAAAAGAGCCGCCTTTGTAGACTCGGTGCAGAATAAGAGAGTATTTGTGCGATAACTGCAAGACTAAAAGAGTAGAGATAAGGCGAAGCTGTGCAGGAAACAAGCAGCCGCTTTCTGGAGTTGTCACAGTCGGTGCATAGACGAGGAACAAGAACGTGCACGAGAACGAACGAAGGAGATGTGTGTAGATTTAGTTCCATTGATTCAGTTGTGCGATTTTGTGTTTTCTTTTACCCTCAAAGTATAACCTCACCCTGAGCTAAACCCCACACGCTGTGTAAACATGCTAAAAGGAGAATAAGATGAGAGGTTTGACTGTGTGAGACGGGACTCGCCTGTTGATCTCCAGTGCAGAGAAATATAGAAAGCAGCGAAATTCTCTGAGTCCTGTGAAGTGGACGTTAGTTTAATCAAGGACCGTGGTGCTCATGAGCTCGGCCTCTGACAGGCCAACGCTGGCGCTGTTGCAGCTGAGGCAATACAGATGCAAGAAGACGGCTCTGCCTCGAAGCCTCGAAGCCTTCGCTGCATCCATATAAAATACAGTCTGCTAAGGCTATAGGTAGAGACGCTTTGCATGATTAATAATCATAATTATCATTACGGCTCTTACTGGCTCCTCAGTTCGTCCTCTTTCTGTAAC